TTGATACGAACATTTAACACTTACTCTTACATGCTTCTAATACATATTTAAACTAATTAAGCACAATTCAATTGCTTACTTAGCCTCAAATGTTGCCGACATGTCATCTTTATACCTTTTCTTTAGCGCATTCACTTTCTCTGTTTTAACAGCTGCTCCATCTCTCTTTCTAACTGCATTTGCATCATGTTCCATCTGTCTTTCGAGACAAACATCTCTCTTCGCTCCTTTTCTCTTAGAAGCTTTGATACCCCATTTGATCGCTAGATTATCAGACTCGGCATCTGCAAGCATTTTTCTACCTGTTCATTTAGTTGGTTTTACTCAAATACCTAGTTCAATTATCTTTCTCTCTTTTTTTATTTTGAAAACAAAAACTTTCACCAGAATAATTAAAAATAGAACTACGAAAATCAACACTTAAACATCAAAGTTACATAATCTTAACTAGTCTTCAGTTCTTAACTAACTTAATTGAGTCTCTTACATACTTCCAATACATATTTTATTAAGCTAATTAGGCACAAATCAATTGCTTACCCAGCTTTAGATGCGTCATCCATGTCTTCTACGATTGCTTACTAATTAAAAATATATTTGATTTAACATTAATATTTACTTAAAAATCAATCATATATTATATAAGAAGTGATTTATGAAAAAATGTTTAGGTGTCATCTCAACAATCAATCTCACAAATGTTATTATGACAGAGCAATTTTTATTATAACATGACATCTCACTTAACTTATTCCCAAACTTCCATAAAATTATTTTCCAATTCCATTCAAATTTTCAAAATAAAACTGAATAAAAATATATTTGATTTCACATTAACATTTTCTTATACCACTTAACAACTGATTTATGAAAAAATGTTTAGGTGTCATCTCCACAATCAATCTCACAAATTTTAGTATGTCATGGCAAAATTTTATTATGACATGGTATCTCAGTTAACTTATACACAAACTTTCATGAAATTACTTTTCAATTCCATTCAAGATTCAAAATCAAACTTCATAAAAATATATTTGATTTGACATTAACATGTATTTAAAAATTAACAAATATCTATAAAAAA